ACGATGTCCATTTGCTTTACTACCCATCTTTTGATGGCGACTCCCGCGAATAGGGTTCGCAGCGTCGTCGGCTTCACCACAGGGGCAAACAGCTCCTTGAAGTCCACCTTCTCCTTCTGCTGGTACCCCTTGGCTACAAGCCTAGACTTGTAGCGCTCGATCTTGCCGTCGGCATCCGACTTGATTTTGAAGAGCCACTTGGACGTTATCGCCGTACGCCCCTCCGGTAGCTCCACCAATTCAAACGTGTCATTCTCCTCGATGCTCTTCAGCTCACTCTCCATGGCCTTCTTCCACTCCTCAGCATCACTACTCTCCAAAGCCTCCTTGAGAGTTGCTGGTTCTCCCGGCATCTCCACCGGAGAGAAGAACGCGAAGGCACACTCCTCGTAGTCACTCTCCTCGTCGTCTCCGACCATCATTGCCGCTCCGGCCAGGGCTGTCTTGCCCTGCTTTCCCGGCGCATCATAGGTCAGCCTATTAGGGGGTTGAACTCTCCTCTTCCCCCTTCCTTCCTCCTCAGCTGCAGGGACTTGAAGGCCTTGGCGTTGCTGCGGTGTGGCTCGAATCCGTGGAGCACTCGTAGTACGGGAAGGGAGTGACGGTGCACGCTCGCTCACTTGCTGCACCTCCTCCTCTTCTTCCTCTGCATCATTGGCCTCCTCTCCCCCATTCACAAGGGAGGATTGCCTTGTGGTTGTGCTGCCGCTGCTCAGCTCCAAAGGCAGCTCCACATGCTCCAAACCGGAACTCTTCACCTCCCCAAACCGCACGCCTATCTTCGCCTCATTCTCCGCCTTCCAATCCTTGTACATGAAGTTCTCCATGAACTTGCAGTCCCTGCTCACCAAGAACTTCTTGGTGAATGGGTCCCAAAGAAGCCATCCCTTGCTGTTTTGAGCCATGCCCAAGTGCACGGCCCACACCGCCTTGGCACCAAGCTTGTTGTGCCGAAGATGCTTAGGCACGAGCGCCATGCACATGCACCCGAACACCCGAAGCATATCCACCTTTGGCTTCCTTCCTAGCCACTCCACATAGGGCACCCATTTGTCTGCTCCCACATGAGTCAAGGCTCTGTTCTTGGCCACACACGCGCTCCGCACCGCATCAGGCCAGAAATAGTCGGGTAGCCCGGCTTCAATGAGCAACCCGCGTGCCGCCTCCGTGATTGTGCGGTTCGCTCGCTCGGCGATGCCGTTCATTGCAGGGGAGTATGGCATGGTGAGGGAGTGCCGAATACCATTCTTCTTCAGCCACAACCCAAACTCCTTGCTCAGGAACTCTCCCCCTCGATCGGTGCGGATTGACTTGACTAGACGGTCTTGTTGCCGCTCCACCATCGGGAACCAATCCGTCTTCAACGTTTCAGCCACGTCGCTCTTCTTGGCCAGCACGTACACCCAAGTCATGCGGGTGTAGACGTCGACAATGGTGAGAAAATACTCAGCTCCAGCAGCTCCAAGCTTCAGGGGGGCCACCACGTCCATCACCACCTCATCAAGCGGTGCCTTTGCCGTTGCCTCCGAACTAGGGAACGGAAACCGGGTGAACTTGGCTTGAATGCACGTCGGGCAGCCAAGCACCTCATCGGGCTCCCCCTTCACACGTATGCCAGCAACCATCTCATTCTTCACTAGCTGCTGCAAGATGGGCAGGGCCACATGCCCCATGCGCCGATGCAAGGTGAGCCAATCACACTCCCCCGTAGCCGAAGTTGGATTGGAGAATGCCGCGCTCGCAATAGCGCCCCACATACTCTCTCCGTAGTCCTCCTCCGCTGCTGCCTCTGGGTTCTCCTCACCCTTTTGCTGCTCCTTGGTTGCTGCACCACTCTCCTTAGGTTCACTGAACTTGCTGGTCCCTCCAGGTTTGATCTTCTTGAGCTCATTCTCCTTAGCGCGACCGTTCGCGCCATCGTCGCTACCGACCGCTCCATCCTTGGTGCTGATGCTTGCTGCCACTTGCCTCTCCTTAGGCATAGGGACCACTGGGATCTGCCACATCTCGTTGTAGACATCCCTGTCCTCATGAAGGTCCCAAAGAATTCGATCGCCAAGCCTTGCGGTGTAGGTCTTGGCTCCCTTCGAGTTCGTGTCCATGCCGGCCTTTGCCAACCGCCGCACGGAAATCAGGTTTGCAGCAAGGCTGGGCACCCAAAGCACGTTCTTGAGGCCCACCATCTTCCCATCAGCACCCTTGAACATGGCCTTGCCCATGCCTTTCACCTCTGCTCGCTGCCCCAAAGCCGATGTGACATGCTTCACCGGTGACGGCTCGAGTTCGGTGAGCAAGTCCGGGCGAGGTGTCATGCTATAGGTAGCGCCACTATCAATCACCCAATAGTCCAGGGGGTGTAGGGTCACCTTCCCCACAGCTGCTGGCTCCTCAAAGCCTTCATCCTTCTCTGGACCAGCCGGTACTTGCGTCGACACGAAGTAGAATAGACCCGGGTATCGATCGTCGCTCGGGTCCTTGTCGTTGTCTCCGCTCTTCATGTTTGCAGCTCCGCCACCGCGACCGCCACGGCCTCCACGGCCTCGTCCTCTCCCTCCTCCTGCTCCTCTACCCTCTTGGCCTTGAGCAGGGGTCCAACCATCAGGGAGTTTGTAGCAGTCGCGCCACATGTGTCCGCTCTTGTGGCAATAGTGACACTCGCCGTCGAATCGGCCGCGACCGCGTCCGTAGCTCTTGTCGTCGCTGCCGTAACCGCCACTCCTGCGGCCTCCGCCGAAGTTGCTGCCACCAAACCTTCCTCCCCCTCGTCCTCTGCCTCTTCCTCGACCATATCCACGGCCGATGCTCGCTGCCCCAGCGCCATCCGCACTCGCCAACTCACGGCGGCGGAAATCCTCTTGAAGGATAGCTCGCTTCACGTCTTCAAGCGAGAGGCGGGGCAAGTCGCGATTAAGGTTGATGATGAGCGAGGACCATGACTCTGGGAGTAAGGCCAGCAACTTGGTCTTCTTTTGGAGCTCACTGTAGTTCAAATCAGCTCCCTCAAGCCGCGTCAACAAGTCGAAGAATTTCTGCACCCCTTCTTCAACCGCTTCGTCTTCTTCAATTCGTAGTGCCGCCATTTGCCGTTCCAACACCACCGCTACCGCCGCTGTTGCAGGAGCATGTACACCCTTGAGAGCAGCCCATGCCTTTGGTCCTTTCTCTGGTTCACGCTGGAATGGCTTGATGTGACGGATCTGACTGCTCCCCAACGCTTGCCCAAGTAAGAGATAGCCTTGTGCGCTCTTCCGCACCCACGGGCTCTTCTCCGGGTCGTTCTCGGGGCGCTTCTCCGTTCCTTCCATCACCTCCAGCAGGTCATAGTGGTCAAAGATGTTCTCCATCTTGAAGGACCATTCAGCAAAGTTGTCACCGTTGAACTTGTCAAGCCCAAACACCCTAGGCTCATCCCTAGGTGGGCCAAGACTTGGTTGCATGGGCGCCATGGCTGAATCACGGGGTTGGCCTTGAGCTTGAGCTTCTCCACTGCCACCAGCACCTCTGCCACCCCTTTCCTCAGGTCCAGACATTGTCGAAACTGCTCCAAGGGGCTCTGATACCACTTTTTATAGTCACAATAGGCTTGAATGTGCCTAAAACGAAAGATAGAGAGCACAGACGGATTTCTGCACAGCGGCTTCAAACATTGATAGCGTTCTGCTCACAGCTGCAAATGACTTGATTCAAATTGGATCTGGAGCGTCTTCACGTCGTCTACAATTAGCAATTTAGATTGCACGATTTGATAAAGAATTGACGACACAGCGTTGGTTTGAACGAACGGTACTATGGCAGCCACTATAGTCTTAGAACACAAGATAGGAAGAGTTACGAGTTGGGAATGACTCCCAGCTCCTACAAACCCCAAGAGCCGAGGTACAGTGATGTGGAACAGTGCCACACTGTCCCCAACCACGAAGGGTCTCGAAACTACCCTTCACTAGGGCCTACACCAAGTGAAATGTTACACTACACAAGGTAATGTAACTATCTTCAATATCTTGAGGTGTACCCTTTTGGCAAGCTTCGAAATCACTTGAGGCTTGACACCAAGGCTCGAGCTCTTCATCACAAACTCATCCTTGAGTTCTTGATGGGTCTGCTGCACACACCTGCGACACGCCGAACGTTCGACACAGGACAAAATAGAAACCGCGCACGACAAAATAGAAACCGCGCGCGAGACACAAACGACCGCGTAACACGCGTCTAGCGATAACTCGCTATTGACTCGACACACACACTCGACATCATGACTCAACATTCACACACAATTATAAGCATGAAATATATATTATCCCATGCCCTCATACCATTCCATACACACACACATTCACGCACACGGACAACAAGCCGAGTGCAAACCGTAGGGTTGCACCAACATGCCACACAGCCATGCTGCTAACCCCTACTCCGATCCGCCTCTCCCTCTCCCTCTCCCCTTGTCGCTGCCTTTGCCTCTCAACCCTCTCAGCCCGCTCCAGACCATCCAGCTGCTGCCACGCCCGCCCTTGTTCCCCAACCACGAGTCACATCCCCGTGAATCCCCTGCCGCCCGCTCATCCCCCTCTTCTGCTCCCCCCTCTCCTCTCCTGTTTGCCTCCCTCGTGTGGTGAGGGTGTGGGGGAGAAGCAGCAGCAGCAGCAACAGCTGCAGGAGCAGCAGCAGGAGCAACAGCAGCAGGAGGGGGAGGAGCGGCAGGAGGGGGAGGGCGGCGGGTTGGGGCGAAGGGGACGGAGAAAGCGACGGTGGAGCCGGTGCCGGGGTGGGAGAGGCAGGCAACACGGCCACCCATGAGGGCCACCTGGGGGGAGAATGGGGCATGGCAGGAGGGAGGGGATGGAAGAGGGGGGGTGCGGGATGGTGGAGAGTAACGGGAAAAGGGGTGGAGGGGGCACTAGGCCGCATGTCAACCCTCTGCTGCTCCGAGGAGGTGATATGCCACGAGCAGGTACGGCAAATGGATCGGGTCAGGCAAACACACAGAGCACTTTCGTAGCTCAGACCTTGTGACGAGAATGTGAATGTGGCGAAACGCGGTATCTAGCAGCAGCACATGCAGGGGCGTCAACACAATGAACGTAACGTATGGTGAGGTGAGGTAATGTCAGAAGGTGCGATGTGAGCGTTTTAGAGGAAGGTGCGAGTAGAAGGCGCGAGAGGTGCAAGCAAGGCGCTGGGAGGAGAGAAAGAAGGGACGGTGCATGGTGGTATGGTGGCAGGCACTGGTGGCGCATGGTGCGGATTTGGAACATGGGGACGGAGGATAACGAGAGCAGGTGAGGAGAGGGCAGCATCAGCGAGTGAGCCCACTGCTGCTGGTTGTGAGGGACCTATGATTGCATGATCTCACCTCAGTAGAAGAGAAGAGAGGAACGTTACTCTGGCGTCCAAAATGTTTGGAATCTAGCATCCATCATTTTGACGCCAACGTTTTGACGCTCGTGTCCACAACGCGGGACACATCTGTTCCAATCCAATTCACGTGGTTGGTACGAGGTGACGAGACACACTAGGAGGGGAGCACGGGATGGGAGAATCTCAGAGAAGGCTCACCAGCTGGTGCACGAGCACAAACCCCAGGCCTGCTCCTCCACTCTCCGATCGCCCCTGCAGGGTACCACACACAGTCGAATAAGGTGACGCATTTTCATGAGCCTTGTGCACCGACTTGCATGATTAAGAGAGAAAGAGAGCCAGGTCAATATGACACGACCCACCACAGAAGTTTGCTTATACGGAGACACAATGCTGCCTGTGATTCAAAATGAAGAACTACCCAACCGTCATGCCACATTGCCATCCCACCCTTACATTTGCATCGTGTCCTCATGCTCTCACCTTGAATTCTGAAAGCTCCTCCCACGATGCATCAAACCCACAGCCCGTGTCGACACATGACAGCACCAGCTGCATCTCCTCTCCACCGCCGCCGCTGCTCCTCCACCCAGAGCCATCCCCTTCACCCTCACCCCTCACGTCTCCCACTTGCTCCTCCTCTCCCAGCACTGCAACGGCTGTGTGTGCGTCATATGTGGGTTGTGAGAGCTCTTCATTCCCCTCACGATCATATGGCACTCCCTGATCCTCCATTTGCTCCCCCCAGCACACCGCAACTGCTCTACGGACAAGGAGCCCCAGGTGTGTGTGCAGGCAGGCCAACCAGGAGAGGGACCAGGGGTGCGGCGGCGGAGGAGTGTGGTGGTGGAGCGGGGCGTCTGATAGTCGGGTGCAGGAGAGGGATCCAAGGAAGGCAGCAGGGAAGAGTTGTGAGGAACGAAACAAGGGCGGGTAGGGGACGGGAGGTGGGGGGGGAAGGGGGGGGGAGAGAGTGGGAAGGGAGGAACAGTGAGTGTCGCATGGCGTAACAAGGAAAGTGAGTCGCACGGCGAGAGCAGTGAATGGCAGGCAAAAACGCAGCTTCAGTCTAGAGAGAGAGGGAGAGGGGGAGTTGAGTGAGTGAAGGGTGATAACAAAGCAGCGCTCACGGAGGTGGTGGCGAATGAAGTCCTCCAGGGAGGTAGCAGTGGGGCACACGGACACGCGCACCAGCACGTGCCCACTCGCTGTGTTGCACATCGCGTTGTCTACAGGCGGTGTGGCGGTGGTGTGGTTGGGGTGGGCGTTTGGGTTGGGAACACAGAACAGCTTTGAATATCAAACATGGTGATGTGAACAGCACATGGGGAGACGCACAAAAGTGCTGACTTGCTACACGAAAGCATTCATCATCCCCGAGAAAGGAGGGGTGGGAAAGGGGAAGGAAGAAGAGGAGGGAGGGGATGGAGGAGAGTGTGGGAATGGGGGAGGTTGGGTAAAGGGTGGGAGCGATGGATTTGTCATGCTGAACTGACCTATGAGCTCGTTGAGTACTTGTGAGAGTCGCATGGTGTCCATATGCAACACAACAGGTACTCCTGTATCCACCATGCCCGCCACTGCCACACCAGACCAGAGCCACGCCAGGCACAGCACAAGCAGTGGGGAGTAATTTTGTGAGTTAGGTGCAAAGCATACAACGACATGCCACCCGCCCACTGCCACGAACCACACTCATGGCAGTGGCGCGGAGTGTCAGAAGCCCTGCACTGGGGATACCCGATTGATCCTAGGGAGGGTTACAAGTGCAAAGCCTGAAGGATTATGGGCGCAATCACCTGCTATTTAGTGACTAGGATTCTGACATGGTATCAGAGCAAAGGTCTCGGATTAGAATCCCCAGTGCGCATATGTTGGCGTGGGCGTTGCTGCCATTGCGCCATTGTGCATTGGAAAATCCCGATTGATCCTAGAGAACGGTTACAGGTGCAAAGTCTGGGGGGTTATGGGCGAACTCACTCGCTACGAAGTGAACTCATTTTATCCCAGTGGTGGAATGGCTGGAATTTTGACACGAAGTGTCCATCGGACATTCGGCAATGCCACTCCAGCCTGCATGCACGAGAACCCAGCCTAGTTGCATGTGCACTATGTTGGAGTGGCAAGGAAAAGGTACCTTCATTGATGCACTCTGACCTGCTGAACGCCCCCTTCCTCGCGCATATGCACTCGTGCAGATGCCCTTGATGCACTCACCTTCGATGCCCTTGTCACATGCACTCACCCTCGATGCCCTTGTCCCACGCCCGCTCACAATAGCCCAGCACGACCTCCTCGAGCCAGGCGTGCGGGTGAAAGGGCGAGCAGCAGAGCGGCATGCGGCGCGCCTCGAGCTTGGAGAGGTCGAGCACGCGGTTGACGAGGCGCACCGTGTCGTACGCGGAAGCACGTGCCACCCGCACGTCGTGCAGCTGGGCGGCAGAGAGGCGGCGGTCCTCGAGAGCATCGAGCAGCCCCACGATGCCGAGCATGGGCGTGCGCAGCTCGTGCGACATGGACGCCACAAACGAGCACTTCGACCGCTCCGCTGCCCGAGCCTTCACTCTCAACTGGTCCGCCGCTGTCATGCTCTCCTCGCTGCGCACGTACCCCACCCCCTGCTGCCACGCCACCGCCGCCACCAGCGCTGTGACCATGAGAGCGAGAGCCGCCCAGAGGAAGGGCACGCCCCAGGAGAGCCATGAGCTTGGTGCCTCCACGTAACTGGGTGGGGTGAAGTGAAGGGACCACGAAGATGCATTGAGGAGACCACTTGGAACTCTCACAAGAGCTATCATTAAAAGGGGAGTGAAAACTGCAGGTTCTAGAAAACGTGAGCGAGAGCAACAAGCAGGCTGTGGTTGAATGTTTCTGTGCTGCAGCTAGGAGCGAGTGAAGGCAAGCACGTGGGGCAAATGAGCGGTGAGGGAAGAAGTGGTGGGTTTGCAATGAAGTGGCATAGCATGAGAAAGAATCAGGCTGAGTGTTAATGGTTTAGAGCACTCAGGGACACCAGAGATCACTCACCGGCACCACACAGCACTCACCAACACCACAGCACACTCACCGGCACCACACTTGGTAGCGCCGCAGGCGGGCCCCGAGCAGGTCGAGCGGCACGACAGATCGCTCCTCCCAGGGGCGCGTGATGTTGGGGGGGGAGATGTCGGTGAAGGGCAGGATGTCACGGTCACGGTAGTACACACAGCGGGGCCCCGGGCCGTAGATCATTGTGGGGCCACGGGGGTCCGTGATGTCATACACCTCGAATGTGATGCTGGGAGCTGGGGGACGGTAGGGCCATGCGGGATGCATGGAAGCGGAATGTCATGGCAGAGAGAGCCACGCAAGAACGGTTGAGAAAGAGCAGGGTAGGATAGGAAAAGGGACTGGTGATGAGAGGCAGGGAGGAAGAGATAGAGGGAAGGAGGGAGTGCGGACGGGGTGAGAAAGGAAGGTTTGGAAGGAAAGACGAAAGCTACCCATCTGGTATAGTTGCAGGCTGTAAGCATGTGGGCGCTTCAAGGGACAGCGGTGGGGTGCAGCACAAAGGGAGGCGAACAAGCTCTACAGCACCTGGCGTGAATTTCAGCACCTGGTGCGAACACGTTCTGCAGCACATTGCAGGCGATCATCCCGAGGTCCACATTCGCCCCAGCTGCTCCCAGCACCGCCTCGTCCGCCTGCTGCTCCGAGGGATTCGGAGGCAGCGCATGCTGCAAGATGGGCAGCCCTACGGCTGCACCCAGGAATGCAGGAGAGGAGGCGAGAGGGAGAAAAGGGGGTGGAGAGAGGTACTTTGGAAGAAAACGGGTGATGCTAGCAAGGCAAATACAACCGGTGACTTATTGAAACACCTTTGCTTGTACATAGGCAACAACAACCATCGCTGTCACATAAAGTCCTGGAGGCCACTCGGACGTACTAGCAAGGCGAGGTTACCAGCTCCAGCGGCTTACCAAAACCAGTGATGTTGAGGGAGAGAGCGCCGATGGGCACGACCGGGCTGAAGGCAATGTCCCCAGTCCTGTGCATGAAGGTGAGCTCGCCGCCCACGCGCTGCATGAGGTCCATCATGAGTACATTGCCGCGGTACGCGTGCATTTCTAGGACTTTAGGGCAGTACAGCTCCTGCTGCTGCCGCCGCGACAAGAAGAAGTCGAGAATGGGGCCGCCGTACTGCTGCTCGAATGCAGGCCTGCACGTAGAACGGACCGGAACAGCAGCGGGAGTGCCCCGGGCGGCGGCGAGCATGCGGGATGGGACGGTAGGTTGGGAAGGGTTTGGGATGGGGGCGTGGTTGCGTGGGTGGTGGCAGGAGCAGAGGCGGAATCATGTGGATGTGCCTGGAGGAACGGTGTCATATGGTGGGTGATTGGGGGAAGAAGGGAGGCGAGGGAACGAGGGGACGAGGAGAGAGGAGTGACTGTGCACCAGCCGGGTCCACTGACCTCTCTTGGTCGACTGACCTCTCTTGACCCTCTGACTGACCTCTCTTGGTCCGTGATGAAGAGGCAGACCATGGCGCCCGTGTTGCCGGGTCGGGAGTAGCTGGTGTTGTTAAGATAGGCGGCCCAGCGCTGCTCCGCGAGACACCTGTCCCACGTCCAGTTGCCATGGCCCCTGGGCTTGCCCATCACCGACACCAGCCCCGCCAGAGTCTGCCATGGGTGTGGGGGGTTGCACATTTAGGACGGCTGGATGCCACTGCCTGGGGTTGACTGACTGAGGTCGACTGAATGAAGTCGTCTGAATGCGTTCACTTGACTAAGGTCGATCGAGACCCAGGGTCAATTGACTGAGGTCCACTGACTGAAGTCAATCAACTGAGGTCGACTGACTGCGGTCGACTGAATGAGGTCGACTGACTGAGGTCGACCGACGGAGGTCAATTGACAGAGGTTGACTGACTGAGGTTGACTGACTGAGCTCGACTGACTGAGGTCAAGTGACTGAGGTTAAGGCTGTAAATACGAATACGAGTACGAATACGAGTCATGGAATCTTCAATTTGTCGAATAGAGGGGCTGATTTGTATTTGATCGAATTGTGGCTGTATCTCGAATACGAATACGAGTTGAATATGCACGAATACCAATCGAATACAAATGTAAACGAGTAGGGGTTTGTCGCCCCAGAGAATTATGTTGTATATTTTAAAGTTCCAGTTTTGTTTGGGCAGGTCCACCAAGTATAAAAAACACATTCACATTTTCGTTGTACCGATGTTTGTACGATAATTGTTGTCACTATTGCGTTGTGAACCACCTAGTGTATTCTTTAATCAATCATTTACACCGACTGCATATTATGCATCCTATCATTTTTGTTATGATATGTTAAAAACATAACCTTGTGCAGCCCGAATTGGCTCAGCAGGTGGCATAATCATGTCAGATTTATATGACATAGCTACTGTAGGCTATAGTGGGGTAGCACATATGGGGTACAGTTTTCTAGGGTTTGCATTTTGTACCCAACTTTCCCTTAGTCAATTCATTCTCGTTCAGTTTCGAATGGTATCGAGCAGGTTCCCCTGTGGGAACTGTTCCTAGGGCCCACCACCTTTTTTTTCCTGCCCGGAGCGCGCTCTACACTGCCCGAGTCGCGCTCCCCTCTCTCGACCCTGTCGCGCCGCCTTAGCGGCCCCGTCGCGTCGCGCCTGCGGCCCCGTCGCGTCGCCCTCACGGCCCCTTCACGTCGCGCCGCCCTAGCGGCCGCGTCGCGCCGCCCTCGCGGCCCCGATCCGCCGCCCTCGCGGCTCCTTCGTGTCGCGCCGCCCTCGCGGCCCTTTCACGCCGCCCTCGCGGCCCTTTCTAGCCGCCCTCGCGGTCTCTTCAAGCCGCCCTCGCGACCCCCCCCTCCTAGCCGCCCTCGCGGCCTCGTCGCCTACCCCTGCAGCCCCGGCGCCGCCCTTCCCTGCCTCGGCGCCGCCTCTGCTGGCCCCGTCGCCTACCCCTGCGGCCCCGGAGCTGCCCTTCCCGGCCCCGGCGCCGCCTCTACTGGCCCCGACGCCGCTCCACCCGGCCCCGACGCCGCTCCACCCGGCCCCGACGCCGCTCCACCCGGCCCCGCCGCCGCTCCACCCGGCCCCGCCGCCGTCCCCACGCGGCCCCGCCGTCACCACCGAGCCGCCGGCGCCGCCGAGCTACTGCCGAGCCGCCCGATCCACCAGAGCCGCCCGAGCCGCCGCGCCACCTGAGCCGCCCGAGCCGCCGGGTCGCCGAGCCGCCGAGCTGCAGTTGCTGCCGAGCCGCCGTACCGCCGAGCCGCCCGAGCCGCCCGAGCCGCCGAGTCGCCGAGCCGCAGTTGCTGCCAAGCCGCCGTACCGCCGAGCCGCCCGAGCCGCCCGAGCCGCCGAGTTGCCGACCCGCCGAGCCGCCGAGCCGCCGAGCCGCTCGAGCCGCCCTGTCCGGTAAGAGCAGCGCCTCTGTCACTGCACTGCCCTTACCCTACTGTTCGCGCTGCTAGTCTACTGCTGTCATGGCTACCCCTAGTGTCCTCGCTTTTGACGCTGAGGGTCGGGCCATTGACTTTGACGTCTGGGTAGATGACCTGCAGCTTTTCCTACAGTGCGATAGGGCAGACGGTCTCTCCCTCTTTGACCTCACCTCTGGTGCCTCTCCTGCCCCTGCTGCTGATGCCGACGCCACTGTTCGCTCACAGTGGGCCACACGCGATGCTGCTGCACGTCTTGCTGTGCGTCGCCACCTGCCTACCTCTGAGCGTGCGCACTTTAGCCAGTACAAGAGTGCTCACACCTTGTACGACGCTGTAGTTGCGCGCTACTCCTCCCCTGCCACTGCTGCACTGAGCCGCCTCATGCTACCGTACCTCTTCCCTGACCTTGCTGCCTTTCCCACAGTCGCTGACCTCATTACGCACCTCCGCACTAGTGACACTCGCTACCGCGCTGCGCTTCCTGCTGAATTCTGCGCCAAGAACCCCCCCCCCCATGTACATCACCCTCTACTACATTGTCACCCGGCTCCCTGACTCCCTTCGCGTAGTCAGGGACCACTTCCTCTCAGTTTGCCCCACCACTCTCACCGTTGACCTCCTCGAGAAGGCCCTCCTAGCAGCAGAGAAGAGCATAGTCGCTGTAGGAGCCTCTCGTGGTGACCCTCGCACCCCCGTCTTTGAGGGGCGTTCCCCCTCCCCCCTTTTGCCCTCTGTTGCCTCTGCTGCTGCGGCCGACCTCGTTGGTTTCGAGTCGGTCGGCGCTGCGTCTGCCCCGAGCGGGAGACGCCGCACCGGCAAGGGCAAGGGGGGCAAGGGTGCTGGAGGGGCTGGCGGGGGTGGCGGAGGTGGCGGTGGAGGCAGTGGAGGGGGTGGGGGTGGTGGTGGGAGTGGTGGCGGGAGTGGAGGTGTCGGTGGCGGCAGTGGAGGCAGAGGCGGCGGCGGCGGTGGCGGTGGGAGCGGAGGTGGCGGAGGTGGCGGCGGTGGAGGAGGCGGCGGCGGAGGAGGTGGAGCTGGTCGGGGTGGCGCTGCGCAGAGGGTCGGCTCCGGTGGTGGTCAGCGCCAGCAGCAGCAGCAGCAGCGGCAGCAGCGCACTCGTGACATCCCCCCCCCTCAGCAGCTCCGTGAGTGGTACGCTGCACGCCAGCGGGGTGGGGGTACTGGTCCGTGCACCTACGTCCTCCGCACCGGCGACCGTGCGGGTGAGCAGTGCGGGGGTGCGCACTCCACCCAGCGCTGCTTTGGCCGCCTGACGGACGCTTGGTGTCACCAGTTCCCTGAGGCCACTGAGATCCCCCGCTGGGGCGAGCTGTCTAGGGCAGGTGTAGCTGTCTTTGACCTTGACTTTGATGCTATTCTTGCTGCCATGTATGCTGTGACTATTAGTGATGAGGGTGACTGTTACCGGTGTTTTCCGCCCGACCCGGGCATTGAGACTGCTGCTCTAGGTACTGGTGAGGCTGCTGCTCTAGGTGCTAGCGAGGCTGCTGCTCTAGGTGCTCGTGCGTCTGCTCCCTCAGGTGCTGGTGAGTCTGCTCTCTCAGGTACTGCATCGGCTTCGGCCTCCCACACCTTCACCCTTGACTCGGGGGCTTCTCGCTCCTTCTTTCGAGACCGCACCACACTCACGCCGCTTGGCCGGCCAGTTGCGGTCTCTCTGGCAGACCCCTCTGGGGGTCCTGTCCTTGCTCCCTTCTCCACTGTCCTCCCGTGTCCGGCGGCCCCCTCTGGCACCCTGTCTGGTCTTTACCTCCCCTCGTTCTCTACGAACTTGGTGAGTGGTGCTGACCTACAGGATGCGGGGGTTCACCAGTTCACTCCTGGGAGTCAGCGGGTGACCCACTGCACGAACGCTCGGACAGGCCGACACCTGGCCACGTTTACACGTCAGCCGGGGTCGAGCCTGTACACACTGACCACTGCGTCTCCTCCAGTCACTGCGTCTGGTCAGGTAGCTGCGTCGGGTCAGGTGTTTGCTGCAGCGTCCAGGTCTGGTCTTGAGTCTGCCCCCTGTTCGTGTCGCCTCCTGTCGCACGAGACTCTCCTCTGGCACCACCGCCTTGGTCACCCCTCCCTGCTTCGTCTCCGAGGCATGGCCTCCCGTGTCCTTGTCTCTGGTCTTCCCCGGTCCCTCCCTCCCCTTCCTCCGGGGCCCGGCCCTACCTGCGTCCCTTGTGTCGAGGGGCGGCAGCGGGCTGCCCCTCACTCCTCCCAGTTTCCTCCGACAGAGGCCCCGCTGCAGACGCTTCACATGGACGTGTGGGGCCCGGCCCGCGTCCGTGGACAGGGTCACGAGCGCTACTTCCTGCTGGTGGTTGACGACTACTCGCGTTACACCACAGTCTTCCCCTTGCGCAGCAAGGGTGATGTCACTGAGGTGTTGATCGACTGGATCCGCGCAGCTCGTCTCCAGCTCAGGCAGAGCTTCGGCTCGGACTTTCCTGTTCTGCGTCTGCACTCTGACAGAGGTGGAGAGTTCTCCTCTGGCCTTCTGCGAGCCTACTGTCGTGCACGAGGCATCCGCCGGACCTTCACGCTTCCGGACTCTCCACAGCAAAATGGGATTGCTGAGCGCCGCATTGGCATGGTCATGGACGTCGCCCGTACGTCCATGATGCATGCGGCTGCCCCCCATTTTCTGTGGCCGTTTGCGGTTCGGTACGCGGCGCATCAGATCAACCTTCACCCCAGGGTCTCCATGCCGGAGACCTCCCCAGCTTTGCTGTGGACGGGGAAGGTTGGCGATGCGTCTGCGTTCCGTGTCTGGGGATCTCGGGCGTTTGTCCGCGACTTGTCTGCGGACAAGCTGTCCCCTCGTGCTGCTCCTTGCGTCTTCCTTGGCTTCCCCCCTGACGCGCCAGGGTGGCAGTTCTACCACCCCACCTCTCGCCGTGTTCTGTCCTCCCAGGACATCACGTTTGACGAGTCGGTCCCCTACTACCGCCTCTTCCCCTACCGCACTCCGTCCCTCCCCCCGCCACCGCTCTTCCTTGTGCCAGGTCCCCCCCCGGTAGACCCCCTCCCCCCTCAGGGTCCTGCCCCTTCAGGTGTGTCCCAGGTAGACGCCGTCGAGCCTGTCGAGGTTACTGGTGACTCTGGTGCTGCTGAGGGTGCTGAGCCTGGGGGTGCTGACTCTGGGGGTGCTGAGCGTGTGGGTGCTACGCCTGGGGGTGCTGAGCCTGAGGGTGCTACTCCTGGGGGTGCTGAGCCTGGGGGTGCTGAGCCTGGG